GGTTATGTAATTTAGAACTGTTAAGAATATAATCCTATGTAGCCAGAAACAGCTCCCCCTCTGTGCTCCAGGGCATGCTCAAGCTTGTGCAAGGGGCTGCTTGAAATTGACATTGCAGAGATACATTGTAACAATGCATTGTCAAGCCACTAACTCTGCTATGGGAGCCAAGCCCTGTAATTGACTTAAGGGCATTGTTACTTAATTGAGGCCTGTTCTCTTTAAAACATTGTAACTTTATTCAGCACTCAGAGAATGTTTTAAGCAATACCACCCAGAAACTTTCTGTAACTACAACTTTTATTATTATACAAAATACTGTATGAATGTATGAGAGAGTGCTTGGATGATGAGTGAATGGTTCTGAGAGGTGCCAGCCTGAGAATACAGCAACAAAGGGCTGAAGAAGGCGTCAGGTGCCAGTGCAACCAAAAGGTGTCAAGTGGAGAAACTGGAGGTCCACCCGATGAGATCACTGATGAGCACCTGGCAGCCACCCTGGAGACATCAGCATGATACAGCAATTTCCATAGACTGGCATAGGAAGAAATTCCTATAAGAACTGGACTAAAAAACTATGGAATCAGAGTCCAAGGTTCTGCTGCCAGCCTACCAGGAGCTTCAGATGCGCATCTGATCAGGACTTCGCTCCCCACTACCATCACTTGTGTACAGAGTACCTGGCCAGTATCCTGTCACAAGCAACTTCCAGGCTGGTAACTATACACAGAACTTGAATGAATGGATGTATGAATGAATGGTTTATATATATATATAAGTGTATAAGGGTTAAGTAGTGTTAGGAATAAGTAGTTAAACAACGTTGTTTGCTTCTATCTTTTCTTTATTTTTCATTATTATCTTTACAATAAATGTGGCTTTTTGCCTTATCCCCCTCATAAGATCCTGCTTGCTTTTATTTGGTACAACCCCCCCCCCCCTTTGCTGCCTCTTATCATATAAAGGTAGCAAAGGGTGGGGGAGAAGGAGGAGTACTTCAAAGCTGCAGTGGATCCTGGGGCCAGACCCCAGGCTCCATGCGGTTCTGCCACTTTGAAATGCCACATGGAGCCCAAGCCAGCTGGGGTGTCCCCAGGCTGCACACGGCATTTCAAAGTGGCAGCACTGCATGGAGCCCAGGATCAGCTGGGGAGTCCCCGGCTGACTCCAGGCTCCGAGCGGCGCTGCCGCTTTGAAATGCTGCAGGCAGCCCAGTGTTGGGTTCCTCACGGCATTCAAAGTGGCAGCATTGCAGGGAGCCCAGGGCCAGCAGGGGAGTCCACAGCTGACTTGAGGCTCCACCCAGCGCTTTGGCCTTTGAACTGTAGCAACAGTTGTAGGGCTGTTGCTACACTTCAAAGGCAGAGGTGCCCTATCGACTAATTGAATAGTCAATGCAAAATGCATTGACTATTCAGTCAGTATACCCGATACTTAACATCTTTAGGGTTGGAGATAAACAGAACATGCATCCTGTCTCTTATGTTTCTCCTTAAAAAAAAAAAAATCAACTTCTACTAGATTACCTGCTTTCAATCTTGTTGATTTTGTATAGAAAATCCTTTTTGTGTTTGCCTGTCTATCAATCCTAAAAGTCTGTGCTTCCTGAGTCAGGGAACACCCATTCAAGTGTGTCTGGAAACAGCTCTAGATACAAAATGTGTATCTGCAAAAATGAGTGGATGCAGGTACATGTGGATATTAAGCAGAGATTGTATATTAGTAGGGCTCTGCAAACGTACTGAGGAGAGGGGGGAAATCTCTGGGTATGTCTACACTACCCCGCTAGTTCGAACTAGCGGGGTAATGTAGGCATACCGCACTTGCTAATGAAGCCCGGGATTTGAATTTCCCGGGCTTCATTAGCATAAGCGGGGAGCCGCCTTTTTTAAATCCCCTCTGCTTCGAACCCCGTGCAGCGCGGCTACACGGGGAATGAAGCCCGGGAAATTCAAATCCCGGGCTTCATTAGCAAGTGCGGTATGCCTACATTACCCTCCTAGTTCGAACTAGGAGGGTAGTGTAGACATACCCACAGACACTCATCAGCTAGGCACACACTCACTAGCAGTAGAATGATTGTGTGCAATACCTATCAAAAAATCTCTAGTAATAATTTATTACCCGACATAACCTAGTTATTCAAGAACATGAAATAACAGCCTAATCGTTGTCCATAATGTTTCTTTATATAAAGGGGAAAGATTAGGTTATTTCCAGGAAAGAAGGAAACTAATTTTATTCCCAGACATTTATGAATCATCGTAACGGCTACTGGATGGCTTAATGAGATGGAGGTGAAATGCTTGCCTGTGTCAACAGTTCAAATCCAGTCCCAACTGCAAAGAACCCTGTGCTGCAGTGTGCAATATACAAGCAGACTGCTTTGCTCACATGGAGCACTATTGAAATCAATGGGTATCCATATGAGTTTGGCAGTCCTTCCTCATATTATACAGGGATAGTGGGATTGGCATAAAAAAGTGTTATCCTCTGAAATTTATTAATGTCCCATGTAATATAATCCAGTTCTCAGGGAACTGTTATTCCATTCACATACACATTACAATTGGAATTAATTAGCCAACTTGTTAGCCAGGTCTGGGTCTGGAAATTGTTTTACCCTCTTACCTTTGGAGCTGATGCCTCTAGAACATTACTGGGAGACAATCGTGGTTTGTTCTAAACCTGTTCCATGGATGACCCCAAAAATCACATTTCTGCAGTTTCTTGACTGCTTAGTAATTTCATTGCTTATGTTGCTTTGGGGTGAGGAGGGGGTTCTCTTTAGCTCTGTTTTAATTTTGGGTATTAATAGCCTTTAAGGGGAAACATATAATTCCAGTTTCTTAGAGCCTTGCTCCATGCTTTTCTTAAGCTACATACTCCCTAGTCACAAGCAACTCCCCTTTTAAATTATTAAATGTTAACTTGTACACATCCATAACCAGAAGCTAACAAATGTAAATGTCTTGCAAGTTAAATAATTCCTACTTACTCTTTCTCCATTCTCCCCTATTTTGAGATGAGAAATTGACTCCTCCTATCCTGCTCAGTAGAAACAAATACAGTTAAATTGTAATCCATCCAAATTACATACTTCACCTGATTAATTCATAGTAAATTGGAGCCAAAATAAAAGTAGAAAGGAATCTCACTTGAGAAGAGTGAAATGCAGATTAGAGCTTTTCTTAAAGTGGTGAGGGTGTTTGTTTATTTTACATATAGTAGTTGGTGAAGTTAATATTCATAGCTTCTAGAGCAGCGCTTTTCATGCAAAGGTTGTTGGGTTTGGGTGATATAATTGTTTTCATTACTAAGGAGACAAGAAGCGCATTAAACGCGTCAGAAGCCAAAATTGTTAAATGGTTCGAGAGAATGTTTGAGAGAACAGACTGATTACCGGAAATCTGGTGGAGCAGGCACCCAAACAGTAAAGAGGAACAGCAGGGCAGAAGTATGTTTTTATCTAATTATAGCTACATTACATCGTGCGGCCCATAATTGGGTTAAGCAATGTCACACATCTGTTCCTAAATCTACAGCATTTAAAATTTTATGCAGTTATCCAAAATATGAACTTTTGTAAGAGAAAACCCTATTAGGGACACTAGATATTGTTTATTTTAACAATCATATAACTGCAACAATTTTTAGTGGTTACACAGTTACTAAAATGTTCTCCCCACCTCCCCAGGGGACAGGACCAGCAGCCAATACACTCTCAGCTCCTGGCCCCACTCCTGAGGAGCCCCATGCCACCTCACCCTGCTACCTCTGATACAGAGGCAGCATTGTGGGGCAGCAAGAGCCCCTGTCCAGAGGGGACCCAATCTCCCTGTGTCAGAGGCAGCAGTGTGGGGTGGCAGGCAGCTCTCCTGCATGCTCTTCATTTAGAAGTCATACCGACAGTCTGAGACTGAGCCAGCCTGAGTTTAAAATGCCGAGCATGCGGGGATGGGGGGGGATGTTGCAACTAACCGGGACTATTAACTGATAAGCAATTGCTTATCCGTGAAACAGCTGACTAGCCGCTAACATCCTTATAACCCGTTCAGCATTGCATCACCATTACCCAGTGCTTTTTTTGTGACAGTACTGCCCAGTATGCAGTACCGGCACCTCCAGTCAGAGCTCAACAACTTTTCCCCTGGAGTACCGGCACTTTTTCTTTTTTTTTAAAACACAAAAAAGCACTGCCATTACCCATTGTATTGGTCTATAAAGGGAAGGCCTAATTCTGCTCCTCTTAAAAAAAAACAAAATACCTGGACATAAACATGCAGCCTTCATGTCATACATAGTACTGTAGAGGGTTTATGGGCATTTGACTAGAACATAAAAAATGGCTGAAAACATTTTATATTGAAATAAATTTTACAAATCTTTTTCTTGAAATAGCCAAAGACCCACACAAACCTAATTTATTGTTAAGAGTTGTGTTCGTTGACAGAAGTTTAGTTCACCTAAAGTGATTTAAATATTGAATTGTTTGAGCATACTTTCTAATCTGACATTCAAATTAGTATAGTCCTCTTCAAGGAGAGGGAAGAATTAAAATAACTTGTTTTTATTTTGGATAGGGAGAGGATTGTTGTGTGTCTAGTTTCATTATGAAAAGTGTGATTTGTAGTAGAGGTCAAGTTGAAACAGAAGTCTAGTTGCTTGATTAGATTTATCAGTCTAAGTCTCTTGCGTTAGATAAATAAACAACCCATACAAAATGTAAATCCCATAATTTATAATACAATGTAATTAATTACATTTATTAAAATAAAATGCTGATTTGTAATGCAGAAGATTCTATTCCATTGTATGATGGGAATTTTTAAACTTATTTAAAAAAACCTACCTTCTTCAAGATGGTGCTAAATGTGAAATGTATTTGGATGTGTTTATAAACAAATTTAGACAAAATATAAAATATCTATTTAAATTACACTAATTGTTGTGTTGAACATACACTACAGATATTAAACAATAAAATTTTATTTTTCTAGGGAAACCCCAAAAGGAGCACATTGTCTTGCCAAAAGTCTGGATGATGCTTTAGTTCTTCTCGACTCTCCAGAGTTAAAAAGTAAGATAGACGTAGTTTGGATCATTGGAGGCAGTTCCGTTTATAAGGTACAGTTGGAACTCCAAATTAATACTCTTTAAATGGTATTGTGAAAACATGAAGGCAGGAGCTAGGTGGACAAGCGGTTATCCCATGCATACAATCACATGCAGTTGTAAGTGTATGGCAGAACTAGCACTGGGTACGCTTGAGCCCATATTGCCAAGTTCCCAGTGGACAGGCAGTTACTAGCAACAGTCTCTCAATATTTTACCTTTTACTACCTTATTTTTCAGAACTATGACTGTGACTGTTATTTCCTGAATCCTTTTCTTTGCTAAAACTGGTTAGAAACAATTTCAATAACTGGGACTTCTAAAATGACTTTTCTCCTATCAGTCACAGTCCAGGTCCAGTATTTGCAATCAAACATACCATCTTTCAAGGCCTTTCCACAACTGCTATACACATGCTTCGCATTTTGTGTAAAGTGCATATATACGATTTTGGCTAAACTAATTTAACCCTTTACATATACTTATTTAAGCTATAACTGGGCTTCAGGAATGGCCCTGCAATTGCAGTTCATGGCTACTAGAAACTGTATGTGTGAGCAAAAGGGAATCTGGGAGGAGCAGGTAAGCCATAAGGTGGCAGCAGTAGCAAGCAGAGAGTCGGAGACAGAAAGTGAGGGGTGTACCTATTGGTTCTAACTTCCATCACCTGCCAGTCAGCCATGCCTCATGAAGGCAGTCCTATCCCAAACCATTCATCTTCCACCACCCACACCACAGAGTCCAGCTACCCCTGACACCATCCCCACAAGTCACTTTAAATTGTCATTGCTTCCTTCTCAGCTATAGAGACACCAAACCCCATTAAAGAGACAAGGTGAGGACCAGCACAGCTACAACTACACTGCACACCACAATCCCTATTCTCAGGAAACTTTGGCGTAGGAAAGAGTACTTCCTTTCCCTTTCAGAAATTAGAAGGGGAGGCACTTGATAATTTTTAGGTGCTCCTTTAACCAGATTATGTGGACGATGACCCCACTCCCTTCAGAGAGGGTCTAGGGCATTGGCCTCCAACCTTTATACACCCAAGATTACTTCTTAAATGATAGAACAAGCCAAGATCTACCGCCCCCCCCTTCTTGAAGCCCCACCCTCTCTATTCTCCTCTGCTCCATCACTTGCTATCCCCAACCCTTATACTGCTGCTTTTTTTCCTCAATTCTTCTGTAGGAAGAGGTTTTTCCAACATTTTGCCTGTCTAGACTGGACCAAATGTCAGAAAAATCTTTTCTTTTGGAAGCTCCCTTATTCCTTGTGTAAAGAGGAATATAGGGGTGACCGAAAGATCATGTTTGCTGTTCCACTAAAAGAAGTGGAAGAACAAACGCATCCCTGGATGCAGAAGAGTTTTTCTGGGATATCTCCGGGATCCTGAAAAACTCCTGCAGTCTAGCCATACCCTCGCTGGGCTGAGACAGTATCTCTGGGGTGGGAATGAGGGATTTGGGTGTGGGAAGGGGTGAGAGGAAGCTCTGGGAGGAAATCTGGATGCAGGAGGAGGTGGATAAGGGGACACTGGCTCAGGGAGGGGGCTCCAGGCCAGGCAGTATTGGGGTCAGATACAAGCCACAGGTTTGTGGATGTGAGGGGGCAGGACTTTGGGTTGGGATATGTGAGGGACTCAGGGCAGGGGATTCCAGTGTATGATAGGTTCAGATCTAGGGCCTGGGGAAGGGAGAGTGCAGGAGTGGTTGTGGCCAGATGGGGCTTGGCCCCAATTGGGGGTTTGTTCGCCAGGCTTCATTTTTAAATAAAATACTGTCAAACACAAAAAGTTTCGGCATTGTCTTTATTTATGAAAAGAGCAGGGAACCTGTCTTGAGTCAGGGGTCACTGACCCACAGAAAAATCAGTTGGGAACAGGGGACACAGAAGCCCGGGATTTGAATTTCCCGGGCTTCATTTGCAAGTGCGGTATGCCTACATTACCCCGCTAGTTCGAACTAGCGGGGTAGTGTAGACATACCCTAGATCTGCCCAACAGGGTGCAAGGTTGGATATCCCTCACCACAGGGAGAGAAATGGGAACAGAAGAAATAATAGGTGCAATTCCTGCCCTGCCTCAGATCAAGGACAGGGCCTCTCCAACAAGGGGAACAGGGTGCCAGGAGGGCAGGGAACGGGGCCAGTGGGGCAGAGTCCTCTGCACCCGCCTCCTCCCAGGATTCCCCCCCCCCATGGGAAGCCGGCACGTGCCTCCTATGGGCCCAACTCCTCACTCCCCCGTCGCACGCCTGCTCCACGCCAACACCCTCCCATCCCCCTCCAGCGCAGGGAAGCCCCCGCACACACCTCCTCCCGGGCCAACCCTTCCTCACACGGCACAGGGAAACCCCCGCGTTCCTCCGGGGCCGACTCACCCCTCCTGCAGCGCAGGAAAGTCGCTGTACTTCTCCTCCGGGGCCGACACCCCCACCACACCACAGACCTGGTGATCACGGGTATAGGGACATCTGCCTCTTAAGAGTCACGACATTCTTCCCTTTCCCAGAAGTTATGATTGATTAAAAGTTGGGCTTCCCGCAAGGTATTTGCCTCAGGATTTCTGGTAGCTCACACACACACATTCAGGGGTTTTTTTTATTTATTCCTAGCTAGTAGATTTGGTAATATTTTTTAGCATGGAAAAATGATCACTGATCATCAATTCTAGATGATCCATCCTCATTGTATACTTTACAAAAAGGTAAGATTTTTGAATCCCTTTGCTAGGACTGATTAAGGTAAATTTATATATTTTCCCTGTAAAGGACAATAAGGTGTCCTTACATTCATTTAATAGTTGTAAGAAACACATTATTTTAAAAATATTTTTATCTTTCATATTACTGTAATACTCCTAATTTGCAATCTTAAAGGAAAATGTAGAAATAGTAGTTACCCTTCATCACCCAACATCTGAACCCTCTGCTTCCATTTTTAAAGGAGATGCCTTTTTTGGTGCTGAACTCTCTTCTGATTTGATATAGTTACACATGAGAATAAGAGTGGTTGACTTGGCTTCTGTCTGAATTTCAGAAGGAGGAGCAACTTAAGCAGATGTAATTTCTTCTTGCACATCCATTGGTTCAAAATGGGCATTTTAATGTTCCCTTCTCTTACAGTGAATTAATTTTACATTGTAGACTTCTTACTTAGTAAACTTTTATCTTACCCTTATTTAGAAAAATTAAAAATTGCAATATGAAGACTTGATCAAAAGTGGCTTCACGGCATCTTAACGGTACTGCTCAACCGAATCTTCTTTTAAATTGAACCCTTTCCATTATTTGAAGTATCTAATCCAGACATCTTGTGAAAGTTTTTAACTTACTGGAAATAATATGACAATTGTGTACAGATTTCTGTATTTAATTAACATTATAATTTTAATTGTAAGGATTTGATTAAACATGTAGGTATATTTTTAGTGCTCACATCAGGTGTGTACTGTAGTTGGATGGTAAGACTATCTGGAACATTAGCTACCAACACAGCACTACATGGTAATCACCTGTGAATACTAAATACTTTTGGATAATTTAAATAATTTTATCCACCGACAGTAGGTATCTGCTTTTTAAAGCTTTGTTTTGATTGTACTGCTGTGTGTGAGCCAGCATTACTTCTTAGATGCAGACCTATGTTGGAGGCAGTAATGAGTCACCACCTCTTCAGTAGGAGATTCAGAAGACAATGGGTCTCAAATACAGTGCTGCCTAGAGATCCTGAGAACAGCCATTGCATCACCCTGTATAATAATGTAGCCTGTGCTCTTCTCAGCTTGTCATCAAGGGGAAAGGGATGCCTGGCCGTATCTCCTTCTGCCTGTTTTGATGTTTGGACACGTAGATGAGCTCATGGACTACAGCTGTTTTTGTTCTCTGAATCAATGTGCAAACAAGAGAATTAGGAGAAGTCTTGTGACTAAGATGGCTTAGAGATGTAACTCTAGAGAAAACATTTTCCAGAGCATTCTGGCGTGTCCTCTCTTTGGCTGTGTCCAGACTCCATGCCTCCGTCGACGGAGGCATGTAGATTAGCCAGCTCGGAAGAGGGAAATGAAGCCGCGATTAAAATAATCGCGGCTTCATTTAAATTTAAATGGCTGCCCCGATCTGCCGATCAGCTGTTTGTCGGCAGATCGGGAGAGTCTGGACGCGATGCCCCGACAAAGAAGCCTTTCTTCATCGACACAGGTAAGCCTCGTGAAACCAGGTTTACCTGTGTCGATGAAGAAAGGCTTCTTTGTCGGGGCATCGCGTCCAGACTCTCCCGATCTGCCGACAAACAGCTGATCGGCAGATCGGGGCAGCCCTTTAAATTTAAATGAAGCCGCGATTATTTTAATCGCGGCTTCATTTCCCTCTTCCGAGCTGGCTAATCTACATGCCTCCGTCGACGGAGGCATGGAGTCTGGACACAGCCTTTGCTTCAGTAGATCCTTAAAGAAGTAAGATTTTTCACGTTCTTATAGAGCCAGCAGCAGCGTATTAAAAACAACCAGGAAAGAAGCTCTCAGAATCTACTTCTGATCCAAACATCATCTTTGATTTTGTCAGAGAATTGTGCTGCAGGGACAACTATCAGCATAAATTATTTATTTACGTTCAGATTCATCCAGACAAATGGGAACTTCATCCTTCTGCTTTATTGATCCATTTCATTAGACACAATTTCTGGCCTTTGGTTTCAG